TGAAATAGTCAATGGAAATAAAGGGACGATGGGTATTCAAATTTTGTAATATTTGTTAATTTCACCAAAGCATATGACTCAGTCTCAAGAGATGCGTGTGGAAAGTTAGTGAACGATTTCGAATCCCACCAGAAATTATTCGCACCATCAGAAAGGTGATCCATGACTTGTATCAAGTGCAGTACGAATGGATAAGGGACTCAGGAAACTCTTCCATACAAATTTTGGATTGCAGCAACGAGAAGCGGAATAGCTTGCGCTCTTAGCGATATTACTTGACTGGGTGCTCCAGTGGTGCAGTGGAATGAGCGAAGCTATGTCAAAGGGGGGTAGACATCATCTGTGTAAACTCATTTGCATTTGCGAACGATACCTCATTGTTTGCAGACTTCAGGCCGTGATATCACTGTTCCTTCTTAACTCTGTAAAATGATGTTTCTGATCTGCATCTCTTGATTAATTTTAGCAGATGAAGTGGACAGTGATTTTTAGAACCGAGGTCCAGTGCCTGACGCTTAACAACGAAGTTGAAGAAAGAGTATCATCTGTCTCTTTGGATAACGTTGGTTGCAGATGGTCGAGAGGCAAACAAAGTTAAGAGGCGCTGTGCGCTGGCATTAACAGTAAACAACAAGTTACTTGTGCTTTGGAAATATAAAGATGTTGGCAATGTCACAAACTGCAGATACGCAGAGCTAGTATCCTGAACATTTTGCTCTATAGCTTGGAGAGGGCAGCATTCATAAAAATCTGAGTACAGTGAAGTAATACTGTAAGTGAAGGAGATGAAGATATTAAGACCAATGTCCAGAGTGAAGTAGATCGACTGGTGACAAATGCTGTTATAAAACATGTTTGAATATTCAGTTCAAGGGACGAAATGGTGGGAAACCAGGCGCTTAAAACTGTGGGGATACTGTCACCATGGAGGGCAGTCGGAAGCGAATATTGAACAGAAAACCTGATTGCAGACAGCGTACCAGAAGGCAGTAAGATCTACAGATTACGTTAGAACTGACTTGATATAGGAAGGATTGAAGAGTAAACATGCATTTATTCGATCCAAGAAAAATGCTGGTATCGACTGCAAAACACTCAGAGAAGAAGAACTAAAGCAAGATGAACAAAAACAAGAAAGAAGAAAAATGAGAAATAAGAAGTTAAAGAACCTCTTTATCTCTGAAATATCTGAGAAATTAATAGTTTTTCTTTAAACTTATTCTCATACCACTGATTGATCGACTTTGAACATGTTGACTTCTTTCATTGTCCCTTTTTAACATTTTGGTTCATTGCCACTAGGGCATGAAGATGTATGCCGTTGTACTAGACTAGAAGGCAGTTTTATATGTTTTCTTTACTTCTAGTCACCAAGAGCATTTAAGCAGATCATGTCATAGGAGTACCAGTG